TACTATATGAACTAGTTTATATATACTATTTTTGTCATTTAAATGATTTTACTATGTGTGTTTGCTAAGCAGTCAAGTTGAAGTGTGAGTAAGTATTACTCTACGTCAATATATCTAACTTCACGATGAATACAAGCTCGTTATGTGAGCTTTTACCATAGAGATATTATATAAAACAACGATAAACAGAAACACATTAACTCAACAGGCATGTTGTCGCTGTGTTTCACACAGAGGGTAGGGGATGTGTTGGTTATACATATACATTACATAAAACTGTATGTGCGTACACAGAGGGGAGGGGATGTGTTGGTTATACATATACATTACATAAAACTGTATGTGCGTACACGGAGGGTAGGGGATGTGTTGGTTATACATAAACATTACATAAAACTGTATGTGCGTACATAGAGGGTAGGGGATGTGTTGGTTATACATAAACATTACATAAAACTGTATGTGCGTACACGGAGGGTAGGGGATGTGTTGGTTATACATATACATTACATAAAACTGTATGTGCGTACACAGTGACAGCCATCACGCACAACCACATCGAGAGTGGCAGCTTTTAATTTTTATAAGCACGCATGTCATGTAAACATACAATATTTGAATGAAGATAACAAAAGTGTCATTTTGGTTGGTAGATTTAATTAAAGAACAAAATGTATCGACCGTAAATATTTTTATCATTTATTTTAATTGATATTATTAGGTTTAAAACTTACAAGTTAATACCAAGACATCACAAGTGTGTTTAGAACAGGCTAAAACAAACAAGGGTGATATGGCAATTAAAAATCACACAGGTAATTAAACAAACTATAGATAACTCTTATTAGTGGCTTTTATGGACCAAAACATAAATATGTAAGTGGCCAGGGTAAAGGTTAAGGTGTCATTCGTTTTCTGAAACAGCTCTTACAACATTTGTGCATCTTAATATAAGATATAGGAAATTTGCACTGCATGCAGTTAGCATATCTATATATAAAAAGTACTTCCCATTGCAATGCATCGAGAAGGCAAATAATGTTTTGAGACTATAAAAACATTTGCTATCGTAACGTCATCAATCTGTATTGTGACGTCATCTGTTTCATTGTTGTCAAGTCTTTTAAAATTTGCTGCTCAAAGAACTGTTCGAAATAACTAAATAAAGCGTAACTATTCTACCAAAATGTAAATATAGATAATGAATATTTTAGCAAATATTGTTATTGTCTTATAACACTCATTACTATTGATGACAAACTTAATAAAACTTAAATATTATTCCTTAATGTGTATAACATACATGTCTGCCGGGCACGTACTGATTCTACACTCGTGCCACCATTTTTGTTCAAATATTCATGAAACAAACAAACAAAGAAATCTGCTCTATAGTGCAATACCTTCCGTATTTGGTAGAGATCGATACAAAGATTTTATAACCTTTGATATTTTTTGCAAATACCGGGAACTTTTCAGTTCGCCATGACAAGGGGATTCCCATAAAAAGTAGTTCCGGCTAGAAGATACATACGACATTCCGTATTGCACAAATAATGGTCTATTTTCATTTCTTCTAACCCGGATATTTTCACTTCGTAAAATTATCAAATAAGCTGTTAGGTTTAAATTTTGGTAATGTACTCTGAAGAAGTCGGTCAGTATCAGGAAGCCAGGAAGTTTGCTCTTAGCTATGGTCTGACAATTAAGCACGTCAATTTACAGAATTTGAATTTCTGTCCAGTATTGCTTCTAAAGGAGCACGATTAAGGCGCCGAGGGCGGTTAATTTCCGCTTAAAAATTGGCTTCGCCTCAAGTCCTTTGACGGGTGTAAGAGTTGTACTCAGTTGTCACTTTGATCGATGATTTTGTCAGATGTCTTGACGCTTTGACATATATTGCCTTCATTTGTGGACGCCGTGTATATTTTGGCTTAGTTTGTTGACGCGGAGTATATTTTGCCTTAGTTTGTTAACGTGGAGTATATTTTGCTTTATTTTGTTGACGCGGAGTATATTTTGCCTTAGTTTGTTGACGCGGACTATATTTTGCCTTAGTTTGTTGACGCGGACTATATTTTGCCTTAGTTTGTTGACGCGGAGTATAATATGCCTTTGTTTGTTGACGCGGACTATATTTTGCCTTAGTTTGTTGACGCGGACTATATTTTGCCTTAGTTTGTTGACGCGGAGTATATTTTACTTTAGTTTGTTGACGTGGAGTATATTTTGCCTTAGTTTGTTGACGTGGCGTATAATTTGCCTTAGTTTGTTGACGCAGAGTATATTTTGCCTTAATTTGTTGACGTGGAGTAACTTTTGAATTAGTTTGATGACGCAGAGTAAATTTTGCCTTAGTTTGTTGACGTGGAGTATAATTTGCCTTAGTTTGTTGACGCAGAGTATATTTTGCCTTAGTTCGTTGACGCGGAGTATATTTTGCCTTAGTTTGTTGACGCGGCGTATATTCTGCTTAATTTGTTGACGCGGAGTATATTTTGTACTTGTATGTGTTGATACAGGGGTATATTTAGTAGTATTATCTAATGCAAAGTGTTTAGTCAATACCTACTGAAAGTTTCCAAAACCTGATATGTACATTGTTCTGATAACACAGATAAATGGTCGTGAAACTGTATATTTTGCCTTTAAATGTATTGCAATTGGAACAATATACTGAAAGTCACGTGACATAACGTTTTTTGCATCTGCCACGTTGACGACAGGGAGAAAAATAGCTATAATATTAGGTTACACAAAGAAGGAAACAAAGAACCTCAATACGATGCCCACATGTTTTCATGTCACGACCTATCTGGTAGGTTAACTAAATCCAAAATCCATTAGCTTCAATGAACACGTGAAACAAGTAAATAGTCTTATAGCTTTATTAATAAAATGGATGTTACATTTTGCGTCTTTGACAATATCTTGTTTATTACAGGCATTTTTTTCAAATAATTTTATTTATAGATTAATGATGTATAGAAATTTTGCCATAACTTCATTGTTGCTGTAACACCGAATATCAAATCGATTGTACTTGATATATATTTTATATCCTAAGAATACACCAACACAAAATACAAAATGTATACAGCCACATATTGTTATACTCTACTTATCTTTACCTATCAGTGCCAGTTGTTCATAGCCAATACATACACATAGATAAATAACAGTTTATTGCGGAACAAAAAAGTATCTCAGTACACGAAACGCCAATTTTTTTTTATCACTTTTCAAACGTCTCAATATTGTATTTTTTACTTCACGAAAATAGTTACTTGAACAACGACATCTGTAACGATGTTATCAAGATGAGTTTATTAAAGGAAAAACATATCTGACAAATGGCCCTTGACAACAGCGTTACTAAGGAAGGTGATACATTTGACGAGGACCATTATAACAACAGCGATACAAAGTAAGTCGATAAAAGTGACGAGGACTATTATAACAACAGCGATACTAAAGAAAGTGATAAATGTGACGAGGACCATTATAACAACAGCGATACTAAAGAAAGTGATAAAAGTGACGAGGACCATTATAACAACAGCAATACTCAGGAAGGTGATAAATGTGACGAGGACCATTATAACAACAGCGATACTAAGTAAGGTGATACATGTGACGAGGACCATTATAACAACAACGATACTAAGGAAGGTGATGAATGTGACAAGGACCATTATAACAACAGCGATACTAAGGAAGGTGATACATGTGACGGGGACGATTATAACAACAGCGATACTAAGTAAGGTGATAAATGTGACGAGGACCATTATAACAACAGCGATACTAAGGAAGGGGATACATTTGACGAGGACCGATATAACAACAGCGATACTAAGTAAGTCGATAAATATGACGAGGACTATTATAACAACAGCGATACTAAAGAAAGTGATAAAAGTGACGAGGACCATTATAACAACAGCAATACTCAGGAAGGTGATAAATGTGACGAGGACCATTATAACAACAGCGATACTAAGTAAGGTGATACATGTGACGAGGACCATTATAACAACAACGATACTAAGGAAGGTGATGAATGTGACAAGGACCATTATAACAACAGCGATACTAAGGAAGGTGATACATTTGGCGAGGACCGATATAACAACAGCGATACTAAGTAAGTCGATAAATAGGACGAGGACCATTATAACAACAGCGATACTAAGGAAGGTGATACATTTGGCGAGGACCGATATAACAACAGCGATACTAAGTAAGTCGATAAATATGACGAGGACCATTATAACAACAGCGATACTAAGTAAGTCGATAAATATGACAAGGATTATTATAACAAAAAAGGTACTGTGGAAGGTGATAAATATGACAAGGACTATTATAACAACAGCGATACTAAGTAAGTCGATAAATGTGACGAGGACCATTATAACAACAGCGATACTAAGTAAGGTGATGAATGTGACGAGGACCATTATAACAACATCGATACTAAGGAAGGTGATACATGTGACGGGGACGATTATAACAACAGCGAGACTAAGGAAGGCGATACATGTGACAAGGACCATTATAACAACAGCGATACTAAGAAAGGTGATAAAAGTGACGAGGACTATTATAACAACAGCGATACTAAGTAAGGTGATGAATGTGACGAGGACCATTATAACAACAGCGATACTAAGGAAGTTGATAAATGTGACGAGGACCATTATAACAACAGCGATACTAAAGAAAGTGATAAAAGTGACGAGGACTATATAACAACAGCGATACTAAGTAAGTCGATAAATATGACGAGGACCATTATAACAACAGCGCTACTAAGGAAGTTGATAAATGTGACGAGGAGCATTATAACAAAAGCGATACTGAGGAAGGTGATAAATATGACAGGACTATTATAACAACAGCGATACTAAACAAAGTGATAAATGTGACGAGGACCATGATAACAACAGCGATACTAAGTAAGTCGATAAATATGACGAGGACCATTATAACAACAGCGGTACTGAGGAAGGTGATAAATATGACCAGGACTATTATAACAACAGCGATACTGTGGAAGGTGATAAATATGACAAGGACTATTATAACAACAGCGATACTAAGGAAGGTGATAAATGTGACGAGGAGCATTATAACAACAGCGATACTAAGTAAGTCGATAAATATGACGAGGACCATTATAACAACAGCGATACTAAGAAAGGTGATAAATGTGACGAGGACCATGATAACAACAGCGATACTAAGTAAGGTGGTGAATGTGACGAGGACCATTATAACAACAGCGGTACTGAGGAAGGTGATAAATGTGACGAGGAGCATTATAATAACAGCGATACTGAGGAAGGTGATTAATGTGACGAGGACTATTATAATAACAGCGATACTAAGGAAGGTGATACATGTGACGGGAGGTGATACATTTGGCGAGGACCGATATAACAACAGCGATACTAAGTAAGTCGATAAATGTGACGAGGACCATTATAACAACAGCGATACTAAGGAAGTTGATAAATGTGACGAGGAGCATTATAACAACAGCGATACTGAGGAAGGTGATAAATATGACGAGGACTATTATAACAACAGCGATATTGAGGAAGGTGATGAATGTGACGAGGACTATTATAACAACAGCGGTACTGAGGAAGGTGATACATGTGACGAGGACTATTATAACAACAGCGATACTAAGGAAAGTGATAAATGTGACGAGGAGCATTATAACAACATCGATACTGAGGAAGGTGATAAGTATGACGAGGACTATTATAACAACAGCGATACTGAGGAAGGTGATTAATGTGACGAGGACTATTGTAATGACAGCGATACTAAGGAAGGTGATAAATGTGACGAGGACCATTATAACAACAGCGATACTAAAGAAAGTGATAAAAGGGACGAGGACTATTATAACAACAGCGATACTAAGGAAGGTGATAAATGTGACGAGGACCATCATAACAACAGCGATACTGTGGAAGGTGATAAATATGACGAGGACTATTATAACAACAGCGATACTAAGTAAGGTGATGAATGTGACGAGGACTATTATAACAACAGCGACACTGAGGAAGGTGATTAATGGGACGAGGACTATTATAACAACAGCGACACTGAGGAAGGTGATTAATGTGACGAGGACTATTGTAATGACAGCGATACTAAGGAAGGTGATAAATGTGACGAGGACCATAAGTACAACAGCGATACTAAGTAAGGTGATGAATATGACGAGGACCATTATAACAACAGCGATATTAAGGAAGGTGATACATGTGACAAGGACCATTATAACAACAGCGATACTAAGGAAGGTGATAAATGTGACGAGGACCATAAGTACAACAGCGATACTAAGTAAGGTGATGAATTTGACGAGGACAATTATAACAACAACGATACTAAGGAAGGTGATACATGTGACAAGGACCATTATAACAACAGCGATACTAAGGAAGGTGATACATGTGACGGGACCATTATAACAACAGCGATACTAAGAAAGGTGATAAATGTGACGAGGACCATTATAACAACAGCGATACTAAGTAAGGTGATGAATGTGACGAGGACCATTATAATAACAGCGATACTAAGTAAGTCGATAAATATGACGAGGACTATTATAACAACAGCGATACTGTGGAAGGTGATAAATATGACGAGGACTATTTTAACAACAGCGATACTGAGGAAGGTGATAAATGTGACGAGGACCATTATAACAACAGCGATACTAAGGAAGGTAACAAATATGACGAGGACCATTATAACATAGGTATTTCCATAGTGATATACATATCAAAATACAGGTATACTAGCAAGCTCAGTATCATTGACATTGGTATAAAAACATTAACATTAGCAATAATTACTTGCTTTATTTAGTAATTCATTTATTTGTACATGTTATACGAAAAAAATATAAAACTATACTATCAATAAAGTAAGACAATATTGGATCGAAATATACTGACTGTATCAATAAAACAAAATTCCTGCAAGCCATTAAATAGAAATGGATATATCTAAAAAGCAATAAAGATTAATTTACTTCAACATAACTGCATCTGACAAATAAAATAAAAGCGACAGAATCACAATGGAGAGATTAACCTGAATTGTAAAACAGACTCCTCTGTATCTTAAAGTCCGATTTAAAAAACTGTAATAAAAGTTTGCTGTATCACTACAGTATTTTTCATTTGTACCATAATGAAACTTGCTGTACCACTAAAGAAATGTTCACCAGGCTTGTTATGAAATTGTCTGTATCACTGAGGTAAGATTCACAAGGCTTGTTATGAAGTTGTCTGTATCACTGTAGTAAGATTCACAAGGTTTGTAAAAATAAATTGCCGTATTGCTATAGTAAGATTCACAAGATTTGTAAAAATAAATTGCCGTATTACTATAGTAAGATTCACAAGATTTGTAAAAATAAATTGCCGTATTAATATAGTAAGATTCACAAGATTTGTAATAAAATTGGCTGTATCACTGTAGTAAGATTCACAATGTTTGTAATAAAACAGGCTGTATCACTATAACAAGATAAATAATGTATGTAATAAAACTGACCGTATCACTGTAGTAAGATTCACAAGGTTTGTAATAGAAGTGACGGTATTACTGTAGTAAGATTCACAAGGTTTGTAATAGAAGTGACCGTATCACTGTTGTAAGATTCACAAAGTTTGTAATAGAACTGACCTTATCACGGAAGTAAGATTCACAAGGTTTGTAATAGAACTGACCGTATCATTGTAGCACGATTCACAAGGTTTGTAATAAAACTGACCTTATCACTGACCGTATCATTGTAGCAAGATTCACAAGGTTTGTAATAGAACTGACTTATCACGGTAGTAATATTCACAAGGTTTGTAATAAAACTGACCGTATCACTGTAGAAAGACCTACACCTGGTCAATCTTACTACAGTGATACAGTCTGTAGTGTCATATATATTACATAGCACATGATGTACCACTGTAGTAAGATTCACAAGGTATGTAACAGAACTGAATGTTTCTTTTAAGAAAGATTCACCAGGTTCGTCATAAATTTGCTGTATGTACTTTTCACAATGCATATACAGTTGACTGTATGACAACAGAAGCGTTAGCCTAGATCTTGAATAAGCTTGCTGCATGGTACAGGCCTGTACTAAAATAGTGTGACATAAATAATACTTTTGATTTGAATATTGTACATGATTATTTAAATTGGAAATAAAAAGTAGTTGGCTTTTTATCAATTGATTCGCAAACGCAATCAACCTTACCCATGGTAGTTATTTTTTATAAGGTGTTTCACACACCTGGATCCTACCGGTACACTGATAACTTGTTTCTGGTAAGGACAAAAAAGTACACTTTTTCGTCAGAACATTTGCAGATTTGTAGATGTTTTTACAGAAATAATCATAAGTCAAGTTTTCCGGAGCTCCCAAACATCGATTGTCAACGACTGTTTCTTCAGCAAACACGATGGACACTGGAAAACGATTGACGTCATGGTTGGTGACGTATTTCCACGGACAGATTCCATAGTGACCTTCATCTTTCGTCGTGATTGATAGATTTGTATTGGATGTGAGGTAGTTCAGTAATGTGTTTACAACATCGCTCTGTTGGCTGTGATCAGCGTTAGGGAAGATACCCACAGGTGATCCGTGACAGGATCGCCATACAAATATAGCCGGCATAGTGAGGACGATTTGGAGCTGCAACATATATTATTTATCATTAGTTATATATTTGAATAAAATACAACTTGAGTTAATTTTGTCGTCTATATATGACCACTAGTTGACTTACATGTTCTTATTAATTCTTGTAACAACTGGCACAGGATCAAAAGGAAACACGTCTACAGAACATATCGATTGATATTGGTTGTGCCTTAGTGTCGTTTACATGATACATCATTAAGTCATTAATTTGTCATACTCTTATATAATTGTGAAATAAATCATCGAGCGAAAAGACATAAGTTTGTTACTTACCAAATTCTGCATAGTGATAAACTATTAACGTTTTTGTTAAACAGAACTGTTTGTAGGATTCTATTCGGAAAAAATCTTCATTTATATACTTCCCGATTCAGGAAGTTTTTAATTACTGTTCTTCCAATGGCCACAAGTTGGTGCTGCTCCCGGAATTGATAACTAAGTCAAACTTAACGCAATTAAAACGCGACCCACGTCATGAATCTGTCATCTTACCCAAGTCAACATCCTCATATTTCAGAAATTGTAGCCAAAGCAAACAGAATACTAAATATCTTACAATCATTAGCTTATATTATCCCACGTTCTTGTCTTGAAACACTATATAAAACTATGGTAAGATCGGTTATGGAATATGGCAATATTTTATTTGATAACTGCAGTCATCAAGAGTCTGACCTTATTGAAAGTGTTCAGCGTAGGGTGGCATTAATATGCACAGGCGGTTATAAGGTTACCAAATATACTAAACTGCTGGGTGAATTGAGATGGGAAAAATTAAGTGAGAGACGAAAAAATTGCTGACTTAAAATATTATTTAAAATTAAGCATGATCTATGTCTGCCATACTTGAAAACTATTTGTCCAATTCAGAGTCATCGAACACAAAACTATAACTTTAGAAATTCTAATACTATTATTCCTATCCTGTCAAGAAAATCTTTCTATCACTAATCCTTCTTTCCAAAATCAATACGAGACTGGAACAACCTACCTGAAGCATTGAGAAATAGCTCTTTACTAACGTCTTTCTCTCTAGCACTGTCACATCTATCCACACCACAAACAAACTCTTTATATGCATATGGAAATGGGAAAGGAAACATCAATCACTCTAGAATAAGAATCGGACTAAGTGCTTTAAACAAACATAGATACTCTTACAATTTAACTAATAACAAATTCTGTGACTTCTGCGCGAACTCCTCCGAAGATGAAATTCATTTCTTTTTACTTTGTCCAAAATATATCCGAATCCGTTCTAGTAGCCTTCGGGCTGTTTGTAATCCTCGTAATATAAATAAAGAATTAAATTAACATATGTCCGATAGCAGAAAATCTAATTAGATGCCGAGTCGATCATTGGCAGTGTTCATATGTGTTTGAAAAGGATGATGCTATGTTAAACTGTTTCTGGAGCTTAATGCTTTTCATGACTGTCTCATGTAATCTAATAATTCTCTGTCATTTTTTATGTATAAAAGTTTCGTTTTGATATTTGATCCTAGATGTTTTTGGATGATTTGAATATAGTTGACCACAATAATCAATCTAAAGAGATTGTTTAATATATTTTAGACTTTTTTTTCTAATTCATACTAAGCAGTGTTATAGTGAGTTAAATTTATTCATTGAATTATTTATGAAACTATTTTATTTCGCTTTCCGATTTAGATATATCTAGCATGGATGGAAAAAATACAATATTTTGCTTTTGTAAAATGTTTTATAAGATTTTAAAATGTTACGTCCAGAACCTAGTACAGAATACACAAAAACATGCATCATAAGGTTTTTTATTTTACTTTGATGCTCGAACGCTTTTTTACTGTCCGTAATTTATTGAATTTGTTTGTTAATGATTTTAATTTACATATCTTTTCGGTTTTGTCGTAATACATGAAAATGAACGCACAAAAAGGAATGATGTCAAACCGGAACTACTTTTTGCGTTTTTAATAGTTTGTGTACCAAGTATTTCGACCGACCTTTTCATTTCATTATTGTAAAATAATGTCGATCGTATTTTTAGCGTCAGTTCAGGTAAGATTTTCCGGTACTTTTAAAACCATTGAATAAAAGATATTAAAATCCTCAATTTGAAAACTACGGAAAAGACATTTCTAAAATAATTAACAAATTAAATCAAATCCACAAATGATATATTGTATAAGCTTTACCATTGAAATTTGAAATTATGAAATTCTTTTGTCACATTGATTTGATTTTATATTTATATAGTAGCCCTCGATTCAAAAATGTTTATTTTTTCGTTATCCAATGTCAATTAATTTATAGATTTTGCCGAAATATCCGACATAAATTGACCGACAAGAAATGGCCTTTTCACACTAGGAATTAGAAGCTGAACAAATGCAGATTATATTGTATGTCTTCTCCTTAACCCACCTATCTGCATTGGGGAGCCTATGAATATCAAGAAATCAAACCATTTCAAAAGTTGATAACTTCTGAGTGTAAGAGAGCAAATAATTTTAAAGGAAGACACATGTCACATTTTGTAGTTTTGAATAAAATTAGGGTCACAACATTATGCTGGACAATTCAGAATGTGTAATTATTGCGTGTTGAACGAGACAGACTATACTGTAAAAGGTTTCTCCCTCAAGTTCATCTCACCACATACATCCAATCATCTATATCGAGAAAGGTAAGCACGACAAATCAATGGTAATTGATGTCATTTACTGAGTAAGATGTGTTCCGTTTATTTAATTTTCATTCGTGCACGTCTCTGTTAGGATTCGAAAAGAAAAACTTACCCATTTACGACTAGCAATAATAACTAAGTTAAAGTCTTTCCGGTTTTGCCTGATGATAATAAAATGGTCTGGGGAACCCCCTTATATTTAACATCCTGGCAGCATATCTTGATCTGTGCGAATAAGAGGAACGGTGATAATTACTTAAATATTTCGTTTAATACAGCACATAGGAATCTTCCACAGTTTTTTCGAAGAACTTTCTAAACTCACTGGTACCGTCCAGTCTCCATGATAAATAAGTAATCCTATGCTGTAATACACAACATCAATAACAAGGAGACTTGACACCAAACGTCATTATAATACCACATTATTGGAAATAGTTGATTTTGTCTTTACTATATGAACTAGTTTATATATACTATTTTTGTCATTTAAATGATTTTACTAGGTGTGTTTGCTAAGCAGTCAAGTTGAAGTGTGAGTAAGTATTACTCTACGTCAATATATCTAACTTCACGATGAATACAAGCTCGTTATGTGAGCTTTTACCATAGAGATATTATATAAAACAACGATAAACAGAAACACATTAACTCAACAGGCATGTTGTCGCTGTGTTTCACACAGAGGGTAGGGGATGTGTTGGTTATACATATACATTACATAAAACTGTATGTGCGTACACAGAGGGTAGGGGATGTGTTGGTTATACATATACATTACATAAAACTGTATGTGCGTACACAGAGGGTAGGGGATGTGTTGGTTATACATATACATTACATAAAACTGTATGTGCGTACACAGAGGGTAGGGGATGTGTTGGTTATACATATACATTACATAAAACTGTATGTGCGTACACAGAGGGTAGGGGATGTGTTGGTTATACATATACATTACATAAAACTGTATGTGCGTACACAGAGGGTAGGGGATGTGTTGGTTATACATATACATTACATAAAACTGTATGTGCGTACACAGAGGGTAGGGGATGTGTTGGTTATACATATACATTACATAAAACTGTATGTGCGTACACAGAGGGTAGGGGATGTGTTGGTTATACATATACATTACATAAAACTGTATGTGCGTACACAGAGGGTAGGGGATGTGTTGGTTATACATATACATTACATAAAACTGTATGTGCGTACACAGTGGGTAGGGGATGTGTTGGTTATACATATACATTACATAAAACTGTATGTGTGTACACAGTGGGTAGGGGATGTGTTGGTTATACATATAAACTACATAAAACTGTATGTGTATACACAGTGGGTAGGGGATGTGTTGGTTATACATATACATTACATAAAACTGTATGTGTGTACACAGTGACAGCCATCACACACAACCACATCGAGAGTGGCAGCTTTTATTTTTTATAAGCACGCATGTCATGTAAACATACGATATTTGAATGAAAATAACAAAAGTGTCATTTTGGTTGGTAGATTTAATTAAAGTACAAAATGTATTGACCGTAAATATTTTTATCCTTTATTTTAATTGATATTATTAGGTTTAAAACTTACAAGTTAATACCAAGACATCATAGGGGTGTTAAGAACAGGCTAAAACAAACAAGGGTGATATGGCAATTAAAAATCACACAGGTAATTAAACAAACTATAAATAACTCTTATTAGTGGCTTTTCTGGACCAAAACATAAATATGTAAGTGGCCAGGGTAAAAGTTAAGGTGACCCTCTTTTTCTGAAACAGCTCTTACAACATTTATGCATCTTAATATAAGATATAGGAAATTTTCACTGCATATAGTCAGCATATCTATGTATAAAAGTACTGGGTGGTCAACTCTGGGCAGAGTCAGCGCAATTGGTAGAGACAGCCAGTTTTCATTTCAAAGTTCTAAAATCAATCCCATTACTAAGACAACTTATTTATTTACAAAACACATGCTTGAGAATTATTTAATGATTAAGTGCCTAGATATACATACATCTGATCCTGAAGACTCGTCGAAATTCTGGAATAAAGAAAAGTTTATAGGGTGCCTGTAAAGTAAATAGGAATGAAATAGTGCAACAGAATTGTGTGAGTAAATATGGGTACATGTATTAATGTAACAGGTTTGTTCTAGCTAACGAAAACGGACCATCTGTTTTAGCTTTAAACTGGAGAACTAACTATGTAACTATTTTTAAAACTATTTTCGTTTAAGTAAATAAGTTAGTTTTGTGTTACCGTTTGTTGTAGGGTATAATTGATATCATCATATTACATAAGTAGCTGTCATATTGCCATCAATATTTTTGAAATAAAAATCACTTTTACTTCCTACATTCTTGTTACCAGTCATTCCGTAAAAATGTAAAAGAAACATCCTGAATTAATATAAATAACATCATAAAAGCTCAATATTACTGTTAAAAATGTTAAGTTGTAATTATAGCCAATGCTTTAAACTGATCTGTCTCCAATACATAGGATAGATAGACAATTTCACTGACCAGGGGCCGGTTGTTCAAAACTATCGTCAAGCTAACGTTGTCGTTAAATTTAACGAGTCGCTAACCGCTAATTCTGCGTTAGTTAACGTCTGCGTTAAATCTGTTGTTCAAAAGGATTTAACGCAGTCGTTAGCTAACGCCAAAAGTTAATCACTTTCACAAATTTTTTAACACTAACGACAGTTAGTTTCGCATTTTTTACCACAATGCATTTGGTTTGTCCCACTTCCCCCCACCTTTCCCTCCATTTCCAACATGGCTGGAGTCAGCAACAAGGCGAGGGAAAGGAAACCAAATTTTACCTCACTAGAAAGTGGATTGATCAGTAGCAGGGCTACAGAGATGCTGGACATCGTGAGAGGCAGGAACTCTAATGATTTGACCAATACCCAGAAGCAGGACTTCTGGAAGACCTTGACAGAAGAGGTGAATGCCCTGGGGGTAGCCTGCTGGTCAGAAGAAGAAGTAAGAAACCGCTGGCGGAACATGAGTCGCTGTGCGAAAGAATAATTTACTAGTAATCGCCTGGAGCGACAGAAGACTGGAGGCGGGCCTCCACCTGCTGCGTTGAGCGTAGCAGAAGAAAGGATTGTTGATGCGATGCAGGACACCGCATCATTTATTGGAGTACCTGGTGGACAGGAGTCTGCTGTTATTCAGCTTGATGGTATGTTTATAATGTTCAAAATTGTCTGGAAATGTCACATAATGTAATGATTAAACACATATATTTTTTGTTTAGTATGTTCAAAATCTCCAAGTAACTTTGCAATCATTTCAGTAAATAGGAAAAGTTCTGTCATCTACTGTACACAATTAATTAACATGCCAAATACCAAAATCATCTCCGTTGTTTTCTGTGTAACATACAGCATATTTATTTCTCATCATTTCCTCGATCTATAACAATGTTAACTGTGGACATTTTCGTCATAATTTCGTTAAATTTCCCCGACAGTAGATCCTACTTTAGCAGAAGATGTAAACACATCCGTAACAGATGGATCAGTGCAAATTTTACAATTTATGTCTAATAAAGTAATTATTTTAATGTAAACAGAAACTTCTAGCTGTTATTAACAGATTTTGGTGTGTTTTTTCACTCGCCACCAGCAATGTTCTACTGATGTATACAAACGAATAGGGTTCTCTATCTATTCAGAACTAAACTGTCGTCTGCTGCCATATTGAAGCGTCTGTGACAACAATAGTCACGTGGTATCGGCCATCAAAATCTAAATATAGCATGATAATCATTTCAAAATATTATGCATTCAAGACAAAATGTTCGAAGGTTAAATTATACCTATCCACTGTATTTGCCAATTTGACATACCTGTAACAACATGTGAGAGTATGTCATTCCTGTAAAATGACTTGTCTGTTTAAAGAACATTCTGCATACCATCCACGAGGTAGAGCAGACATTTTGAAGTGCCCCTTATGGCCATGCAAATCATACTCTCAACAACGAAAACAGTTTATTATATTCATACGTAACGTCTGCTGGCTTTTTCCTGTTACACAGGCATAAATAAATTGAAAAGATGTGTTTATGTTGATGTATGATAAGGTACGATTATCATATGAGTAATAAATATAATGTTATTTTGTAGAGACTAGAGCTATAGTCTGTTTCATATTTACACTCCCTTGTACATTTTGTAAGAGTTATCTTTCTTTGTGCCTGAACAGTTCATAACAGCAGTGCAACCAGCATAGAGAGGTCCTGGGATGAAGCCATCAGGAGGATTACAGAACATCCTCCTGGTCAGTTGTTTGCTGATGATGCAGAGGACGTTGCAGCAACACCAGAGGCAGCAGCATCCTCTGCATCATCACTAGGACAAAAAAGGTAAATAAATCTAGCTGCTAGAATATAATGCATCTGTTGTAAAAATGAATATTCAACTTCAGTGAACATTTATACACATACATGATTGTATATAACTCATAAGTGCAATCTTTTGTGTACAAACTTTGATTAGTATATTACATGGATCATTTTTCTTAAACATTGTCTTGACTGACTTGTTGCTTATTTGCAATTTTGATTATTGTATATAACTTTGATGCGAAATTGGGCATGCAGTATATATTTGTCAATCAGTATTCTGACCTTATATATGAAAATTGGCCAATGTAACCATACATATGAAATAAAATATTTCTCCTGAAATTCTACCTTGATTGGTAAAGTGATATGTGAAATGTTAGAATGCCACGGACAAAAACATTAAATCATTATCATGCATTTGCATATATTTACATGTAGGTATTTACCTTTATATTCTATAGGTTACATGTACATTTAAAGATTATTATTAAAATGTAACTGCATCTTTTTGATCACTTTCAACCTTTGAGGATTAAACTTTAAATGGTGTGTATCTTAAATTGTGTTTTTCTATTTTATGTAAGTAATTTTACCTAAGAATTTGGCATTAGCATAAGTGTGTGTTAAATTCAGTTTTACATTCCATTTATCACAGATGCCGAACAAAAGAGGTGCAGGCCACAGACAGACAGAAGAGGAAGAAAACTGCTGAAGATGTGTATACAATTCAGCATGCCTACTTTGAGGGGGAGATGGTTAAGACCGATCTACAGATCACCCTTTTAAAGAAATTTCTTGAAAATTTTGAAGGTCAGCAAGACACTGTCAGCCTTCTAGCTGCTTTGTCTCATTAGCTGAATATTGCTTACATGCTAATGATACAAAACAGACAGAATGCTGT